GGAGGGAGGCAGTTACTGCTCATCTCAAGGCGCGCGGAGAGGTATGGGAGTGGGAGTGGAAGTGGGGGTGGGAACAGGGGGGAGGAGAGTCAGGGGGTGTGGATGTAAGGGGGGAATGGGGGTGGGGGGACCTCTATGTTGATATATGTAGATAGAGAGGGAGAGTGAGAGAGAGACTTATGGTGGCGGGGTGTCAGCGACAGGTTTTGTGAGCCAGGTCGGGATGGGGGGGAGGGGAGGGAAGGGGAGGGAATGCTGGCCGGGAATGAGGAAAGCAAAGAGGTGGTCTCAGCCACGATACCATGCACACGTGTCAGTAGGGGAATGGCCTGATGCACTTCAAGCTGACGCTGGTCCAACCCGAAAGACTGTGTATAATAATGCTGGAGAATTGTGTTGAATACAAGGCAGATTTGCTAAGGAAGAGATACTAAGCGGAGGACCGGCGCCGGAGGGGATTGAGGACAAGAGAGTAGGAGAAGATGCGCCGCGGAGCCATAGACCAGAGAGAGAGAGAGAGAGAGAGAGAGAGAGAGAGAGAGAGAGAGAGAGAGAGTCTTCTCTTTTCGTTTTACTGAAGTTTGCCTCCTGTGTATGTGAGAATGACAGAAACCGGCCATACAACCTACCAGCCACAGACACAGAGAGAGAGAGAGAGAGAGAGAGAGAGAGAGAGAGAGAGAGAGAGAGAGAGAGAGAGAGAGAGAGAGAGAGAGAATTCTTTGAGTAGCGACGAGGGCGTTGACGGTTGCGTTGCTAGACGGCCTTTGCCCCGCAAGGTGGCATTCGGAGATAGATGAGTATGAGTTAACCGTTGGAGTTGTGTATTTGTTGTTTGAGTTATATGGACACGATCCAGGCATGGTGCGCTTGGTTCGTTGGGTGGTTCACGGCTGCACTGCGCTGGGTGGGACTTTGTGGCTCTTCTGCGTTCGAACCCTTCCCCTTCCTCGGTCATTAACTGCCGGACACGTCAACATTTCTTGAGAACTCCTTCTCCTCCTCCTCCTCCTCTCTCTCTCTCTCTCAGATCTCTCATCTCTCTGCCTCTTTTTGGGTTGGATGGTCTGAATTCTTTTCTCTTGCACGTCACATGTGTTTCTACTTCTAGTTTGTTGTATGTTTATTTATCTCTTTTCTCCCTCCTCTCTACAAGAGCTTCGTAGCTTTATCTCATTGGTGTGTAATCGGCATGGCAGTGGGAGTTTGACCATACTCAGACTCGGACTTCCTGATTGTATCTGACCGAATTTATGGCCTGATTCATCCGAGAAGGTCCTTGAGGCCACGCTCCACTACTCACGGCATGCACAACAGACAAAAGATGGCGGTGTACGTGTTCTAGCAGAAAATTCATTTCCATTTTGCACATTTGGTGAGTGGTGGAGCGAGGCCCTTAGCTCGGTATGGACTTGTAGTTTTACTTCATCGAGGGCACGGCGACCATACGCAGACTCGGACTTTCTGAGTGTATGTGACCGAATCTACGGCCTGATGCGTTGGAAATGGTTCTTGTTGGAGTACGCACTCATCTAGGGACGGAGAATAGTTTTGAGAGGCGAAGAACAGGCCTGCAACCCTTGCATTCTCGACCCTCTTCCCTTTTTCTTTTCCTTTTCCTGTTTAACTTGCAATTTGATGTTCTCTAACGCCACATGCACACTAGCACTTTCCAAGATTTATCTGACTGCGTCCTAGCACTTTCCTGTTTAACATGCATCTGCAAACCAATACCGGAGGAGAAGGTGAGGTGGATGCAATGGAGGGGAACAAAAAGTACAGTTGTTCTAAAGATAATGCAGATTTATTAAATGTGGATTTGATCTTTTATTCTTTCGTCAACTTCAAGGAATATGAGTGGGAAAGATATACAGAGAGCCAAGTTGCGAAAGTACACAGATGGCCAAGTAGTGGTGTACAAGCAGAGAGCACAAATGCACCGAGATTCCATCCAAATAAGAGCTATACAACGAAGTCATGAGCCAATGTTAAAGCCCTCAGGCCACCCCAACACAGTATCCAATGTTGCTCCTCTCTGTCTGGCTCCCAGCCCAGCCTAAACTACTTGCCTATCCTACCTATATCAGCATTCACGCTCTTGAAGACCAACATACATGACGTCAACGCCATAACCGACCTCTCCCATGTACCAGGTACGTATCTCGTCTCCCCTCATCAGACCTTGACCGCCCACACTTGCCTCCTTACTGAAGACCACCGATCGCCCTCTTACCCCCTAGCGCCCTGTATCCCGGCTATGGCTGCTAGCGCTCCGCTGCCCAGCAACGCCCCTCTCACCTCTATAGCGCCCGTATGCGCCCTGGCCTCAACGCAGCATGCAGCCTCTAACACAGCAGCACAGCAGCGTGACCGCATTGCCTGCGCGGGGGGCCAGAATGCCTCACTCTGGCTGCCTCCTTCCCTATATGGAAGTAGCTTCCTGTCAGGCCCCAGTGCCTGCACCCAGGCCCAGCTGTGCAGTTGAGGGCCTGGGCCCTTTACAGTTGGGCACGACCAATATTTCCAGACTTGAGCCGTTTGCTGCATTTGCCCAGGACCCAGTCGACAATGCTGCTTTTCCGTAGGCCCGTAGCCAATTTGTGATGTAGCTGCCTCGCATTGTGTGTGTGTGTGCCCAGGCGCAACTACCAAGGCCTGGGCCCAACTGTATGACGCAGCACAGGGAGGCTCACGCTTCCACTCAACCAACTGGCGTGCTGCAACTGCCTGAGTACCCACATATGGATAATGTCAAATTTTGGCCTCTGGTGAATATTCAGGCCCGCCTTCACTTAGGGCAGGCACGGGGCTTGCTGAAGGCCTCGGCCCAGACCTTGTGCATGTCTGATAAGGCCCTGGGAGGTTGTATTCATCACATTCCATCCCCCTTAGCTTCGAAAGTCTGCTGAGATGCTTCATGCTGGTGCCTTCCCCTTCAGTTTTCTCTCATACTCGGCCACGATCTGAGGAGCTGTCTTGACAAGTTCCTCTCTTGTGAACCATCGATCTTCCTTAGGATCCGTATGATGCCTGAACTGTACCTTGTACTCTCTCATAGGTTTAGGCAGTCTTCCTCTGCCAGCTGGCTTGGGGAATAGGCATGTCTCTGTGCTTCAGGATATCGTCGACGTCCACGTGACCATCCATGGTTGGGGGCAGCATAGATCTCCTTGATGGGAATTGTTATGTCTTAGCGAAAGGTGCAAGCTTTGAGGTGTGAAACATAGGGTAAGTGCATAGATGACCAGGGATACAAACCCATGGAGTGTCAAGACGCGTTAAATCAATCAAGGGAGATGTGATCGTACTATAGTTTTGTACAAAATTGCGACAACAACCACACATTCCTAAGAATGATCTGACCTCAATCACTGACTGGGAGCGTTACCAGTCCCTAATGCTAGCCACCTTCACATCTTCAAGCCTAATCTCTTTTGCAGATACTTCATGATCCAAGTACAAGATTTTAGAGCGACCAAACTCGCATTTCTCTAAATTTATCTTATACTTGTGCTCCCAAAGGAGAGAAAGTACCTTGTCTACATGTTGAGCATGCTCCTCGACAGTCCTACCGAAGGTAAGAATGATGTCGTCGATGTATACGACGATAAATTATCCAAGTAGTCATGGAAGATCCTATTCATGGTGTGTTGGAGTGTATTTGGCGCATTGCAAAGGCCGAAGGGCATCACCACAAACTCGTACAGACCGAACCTGGTCTGAAATGCGTTTTTGTGCTGGTTTTCCGGTCTAATGGCAATCTGATGGTAGCGTGATTTTAAGTCGACCTTTGTAAAGTACTTACATCCCTGCACCCTATTCAATAGCTCATCGATGCGCGGTAGGGGTTTTGCATTCCTAACGGTGATGGCATTGGGGCCCCTATAATCAATGCACATCCTTAATGATCCCCCCTTCTTCGGGACAAATAAAACTGGTGAGCCGAAGGGGCAGATGCTAGGCCGTATCCAACCCTTTTCTGTGAGCTCTTTCAGTTGCCGATGAAGCTCGTCTAACTCGACCGGAGCCAACCTATAGATTTTCCCTTTGGGTATTTTGCTCCCAGGGATGATTTCTATGGCATGAACAACCTCCCTGTTTACGACACCTGTGGGCTCCTCGAACAAATCAGGGTACTTAGCGACGACACTCTCTGTCTCTGGGGGTGATTTAAAGGGTCTCCCCTTTTGCAGAGACAAAGACCAGGTACATACCCTCCTCTTGGTTTTGTTTATAGTAGTTGTAGAAGGCTGATGCGCACAAGCATCCGTAGGAGTCAATTAACCTACTAGTCTTATACTTAGCTAGTCTAACGGTTCTCCCATCAGGCAGCTGGTGCTTTAGCACTTTCTTGTCCCAGTCAAACTGGGGTTTGGTAACCTTAAGGTAGTATATACCTAACAACACGTCAAATGGTAGGTCGTCACTAACCAGGAACGAAATCCTATGATTAAGTTCCCCTCCTGAATAGGCGAAAGTGCAGACGATGTCCTTGACGTAGTCCTCCATCAAAAGAAATCACGCACGCTTTAAGTCTACGCGCCCACACACTCTCTATTGTAGTTCATCATTCAGTCAATATAAATGACCGACATTGTCGTGACTCGGCAATATGCTCAAACTTTAAATTAAACTTGTTTTCTGTCATTTGCAAAAACCAGGGCGGATACCATTGTAAGGGTATTCGCGCCGACACTGCAACGGTCAAGTGAGGCTTGATGAAGACAAAAAAATCCCCGACTTTTAAAAGGTTCATCCGAGCAAGCCCCGTATACCGCAAAATAGTCAATCCTCGCACCCCGCTCACCACACATTTAATTATTAAAAAACAAATAAGGACCACTCGCACTCAAGGGAATAGGGGTCATATGCAGGGTAACAAAATAACCAAAATTGGGACAAACGTCGGGGGTAATAGATAATCAGGGGAAAATGAAATAAAAATAAAATATCATTCAAGATCACGGATTTGAAGCTCATTTGCATCATTAATTATTTCGACGACGTTCTAAAATTTCTTCATACAAATAAATAAAATAACTTTAAATAAGCGTCCCAATTTGGTCGCGCAAAACCGACAGTGAGGAAACCCGCGCACACGTCAGCGACGAAGTATCTGAAGAAAGGAGAGTAAGGGAAAAATAATCGCATAACAAGCACTTCAAGGGTGGGAAATAAATAATATGGCCAATGACATAATAAGAGGTCTAGTGTCAAAGAACGATCAGGCAAAAAACAGGGGCCGACTTAGGTACCTTGTTTTTTTACTGCTCATTTCATAGCACCAACCCTCGAAACCCTACCATTTCACTAACCTAAGCTTGAAATTGTCCCATTTCGGGTGACCGACTGACTTTGCCTGCCCGATACCAGTTCAGGTTCAGACATCATACGGATCCTAAGGAAGATCGTTGGTTTCACAAAAGAGGAGCTTATCAAGACAACACCTCCGATCGTGGCTGAGTACGAACGAAAACATAAGGGAAAGACACTTACGCAGCAGCATCTTAGTCACTTTCGAAGCTAAGGCGGATGAAATACGAGGAACAAGCCTTCGCGGGACCCTTATCAAACATGCACATGTTCTGGGTTGTGCCCCCCCCAACAAGTCATGTGCCCACCCTAAGTGAAGGCGGGCCTGAACATTCACAGGAGACCTAAATTTGATAATTTTCATATGTGGGTACTCAGACAGGTGCAGTACGCCAGTTGGTTACAGGGAAACGTGAGCCTCCAGGCTCTTTCCGGAAACAAGGGTTGAGCTATGTAGCTGAGCCCAGGGCAGGGTGGTTGCCCCCTGGGCACACGCATTATGAGGCCGACACATCACACAGTGACTGCAGATGAATGAGAAAGCGGTATTGTCATCACACAACTACCATGAGTCAATGAGAACATGACAAACACTTGTGTCTGGACGTCTGCATGTATGAGCCTAAACCGAAAAGGGTGCAGACCCTTAACTATAGAAGTGGGCCTGGGCACAGACACTGGGGCCCGACTGGTCCAATTGGAAGTTACGGGAAACTTTTTCAGCCAAGCTCAGGGGTTGCACTTTCCATAAAGGAAAGTGAGTTGCCCAACCGATGAAATTATGGTCTTGGCAGGCAATGCGGACACGTTGCTGCGCTAGTGTTTGCGTTAGCATGCTGGTCGGACACACGCATGGGCACTGAGGTGAGGGGCGCTACATGGGTAGCGGGGCGCACAACAGCCATAGTCGGGCTGTAGGGGCGTGTAGGCAGGTGATGGCGAAGGTGGTCCTCGGGTAAGAGGCGCATGAGGTAGGGGTCCAAGGGGTGATGAGGGAAGGAGAGGCAACATACCTGGTGTATGCCGGTGGTCGGCATTGGTGTTGACGTCACGTACATTCATCTTCGACTTCAGAGTGACTCAGTTGCAAAGACGTAGATAGGCTAGATAGGTTGAGTAGGATAGGAGGGGTGTTGGGCGCTAGACAGTGAGAGCGACATTGGATACAGTGTTGGTATGACAAAAGAGTGGCGACATTGGCATTCGAGTTCATTGTATTGCTCCTATTTGTATGGTATCCTGGTGCATTGAGCTCTCTGCTTGGTTCATGATTATCTGATCTACTCCGTGATTTTGCAACTTGGTTTTCTGTGTATCGCTCTTGCTCATATTCCTTGCACCTCTTTTGTCTGTTCGCAGCCCTAAGGCTGCGATATAGAGGGCTTCGGCGTCTGTGTCAAGGTGTCACATTTTGGGCGGCCGACGAACATGATGCAAGTGGGTTCTTAGAGGGGGGGGGAGAATTTGGGGGACCGTCCTTCAACATATTGCGGACTACCTATAGCAACTTCTTGTGGAACCGGGGGTCTTGGAAAAAGGAAGGACCGGTCCTCGGGTGGAAGCGGACCCCAAAAAGAAGTGAGGGCATGTGAACTCAGGCCCTGGCGTTGAGGCCCGTCTTCTTCAAACAGGGAGGTCAGGGGTAACAAAACACGTGTTTTGCAAGAGGCAACTTTGACAATTTTCTGTGCTCGGAGAGATCCGCAAAAAAATCTGAAATTTTGAGAATCCATAGATGAGGTCATGTTCTTTCCAGGAAAAACATCAGAACATTTTCAAAAAATCATTTAGACCGCGAAATAATTGTCGCGCCAATTCGACACATTTTCCATTTTTGCCACTCAGCCATGTGTGGGCCAACTGACCAAGTACTCCAAATTCAACGAGTTTTCACTCTCAGAGTAATGCGTGAAAAAACCTGAAAATTGGAGTACTCGTAGATATTGTTGTGATCTTTCCAGGAAAGATGCTAAAAAAAAAAATAAAAAAAATTCCAACTGGGAAATAGATCATGGCCACAATTTGACCCATATTTCAATTTTGCCCTTCAGCCTCTCTCTCTCTCTCTCTCTCTCTCTCTCTCTCTCTCTCTCTCTGTGGTAGCCCCCCCTTCCCCTCTCTCTCTCTGTCTCTCTTGAGTGCGCTGTTAGTGTCATTGCTTTGGCTACCTTAGGGCTGTGTTCCCCCCGCCCACGCGGTATACTTTTTTTTTTATAAATAATAAACGATGCTATATTCTTCTCTCAAATCTTTCATCATCTTTCAAATTTCTTTCAATTCCCCTTCACTACCTACTACTCTAAGGCTTATACAGGGCCCCCCTGCGGACATAGCTTGTTGTCTCCCTCCAGCCATCAGAGGGGATGCATGTTGTCCCCCGCCCCAACCATGGTGATCAAGGATGGGGTGGGGCCGCCGGTGGGGGTCCGGCTAACGCAAAGACCCATCATTTTGCCAGTAGCTGCACCTCCCTTTTCATTGTCCCCCACCCCCAACCTAATAACAGCAGTGTCTAAGGCCAACACTCTCCCACACAACCCACTCACACTCACACTCACACTCACACTCACACTGGTGTTGGCCAAGGACCCTGCTAATACCGATCAGAGGTATCAAGCAGTTTTTTTTGTTTTTTTCTATTTTTTTAAAGCTATCTTCTTCTCGCAATTTCACCTCACACTACCTACCTACCACTACTCCTGATTGTAGGCATAAGGAGAACCCCGTAGCAGCCAGAACCGTGTTCACGAGAGAACATGTGGGGGCCGCTCCCGACCTGCAGGTGGGCGATACCGGCTAGGGGACAGCCAGTAGCATCAGTTACCATGCCAACAGGACCAATCCCTGTGCCTCCCCTCAGGTCCCCTCCCCTACGAACATCAGCAGACTCTGCTCAATGCCGATCGGGGGATCCAGTGGCCTATCTCTAGGTAGCGGGCGCCAAGCACGCCCAGGAAGGTACGTGAGGCCATGGGAATCGAACCCACGACCTCGTGAATGCCACTTGTGAGCCAAGCAGTTTGTCATTTTGCTTTTGTTCGTTTGTATTTTCTCTCATTTTTAAATGAATTTTCACGATTATCTCCTGTCTTTTCACCCCCTTGTCGAACACATTAACGGCCAGTCGTTCCGGGGTTATAAAAAGATCGTTCGTGGACGGATAGGGCCATCCACGTCATCGGCGCGATGTGCTCGGGCTTTGCGCGAGGCGAGTTGAGGCGCGCGATTTTTTATTTTTATTATTTTTATTATTTTTATTATTTTTATTATTTTTATTATATTATTATTATTATTATTATTATTATTTTTTCAGTGCGGAGTTTTTCATCCGCTGATTACAAATTTCTAGACATTTATCTGTCTCTGAGATGTACGTAGGCGCGCGATTTTCTAGGTAGAGAGTGAAGGAAGGTGGTGTCACGCCTGTCCGCAGCGTGGCCCACGGGACCCCGGGCATCACTCCATCCCCTGGAACGCGCGCGTAACCCCGCGCGATGTGCGCTGGTGACACCCTTCTCCCCTTCCCTACGGACACTCACTCAAAGCGCGTCTAACCTGTGTGAGGCGCGCCGGAGGGCAGTCGCATCCATTCCGCCCTGTCACCTCTGACCTCCGCCGAA